CCCCAAAACCCCAAAACCCCAAAACCCCATATAACCTCAAATAGTTTGAATGGATTAAATAAAAATAAATATGAGTGAAGTAGCCCAGTTTGATGAGAATTTATCTGAAGAACTGCTTGATGAAAATGCATCAGCTTCAAGTATAAATGTATCTTTGAATCTTGATAGAAACATGTCAAGCTCTCCATTCCAAAACAAGACAGTAACATCAAGAAGAGGTGTATTCCCTCTATCTCAACTTGGAAGATTCAAATCTTGAAAACAGCCAAGAGATGATAGGCCTGGGACTGTGAAGAAGCTGAATTATGTTAAAGAAGAGTTTCGTTCAATGAAATTAAGTTCAAAAACACCAGTTGTGTCTCGTTTGCAAAGCGATATCAGAGAGCTTCTTAAGAAGGTTGTTCAGCAAAAGAGCCAGTCAATGCTAACCCCAGAAGCAAATAAGGTTCCAACTCCAACTACAGGTCGCAAAGGACCACCTCCTCTAAAATTGGTTAAAGATTTTACCATCCACCAAGTTCAGACCCCAAATTGCTTTTCTAAAGCTCCATAATTCTAATTTACTATATAAATTTCTCTAAAATATTAATGTCATCACCAGGATTTTACAAACAAACTTAAGGGTTTATTTTTCAAAGTGCCCACCGCGCAACCTCATGAACTTTCTAGAGAACTCAGGTGTCTCACTAGACCAGGTGCATATAAACCTCCATCCCCCCGAGACTATAGGTAAGAGGAAACAACCTTCATGAAGAATGCCCAGTTATGAAGGAATGCACCCGTTCATGCCAATGGAGCTCTAAAGGTTCTCATAGGTCCTAGGACTGTTCTTACGCTGGAAAATAACCATGCTTCACTGAAGGAGAGGGTATTCTTGAGATACTCGGTTCGGATGTAAAGTTTTTACACAAGAAAATGTCTATGAAGTATTCGTGAAATGGGATAAAAGAAAGTTTAGGACATAATTTTATAAATAAAGTTCTTAAGATAGGCTCTAGGGGTATTAATGTAGGATCATTTTGATTGTAAAGTCAGTGAAGGTTGAGTTGTCAGCGATTCGGAGATTTGGAATTTTTCGATTCTGGTAAAAGAAAACTTGCATAATCTGAAAACATAAATGTTGATAAATAGTTATCATTTTCTGTTTCGCTGGTTAAGTTAAGCAAAAATTATCATAGAGCTTTATGAAATTCTGAAAAGATGCAGGAATCGATGAAATAATTTCAAAGAAAAATAATTTATTTAATCATAATCTTCCTAAAACTCCTAGTAAGAGATAATATAATAGCTCATTAAAATATTCTGCCATTATTTATTGATATAAACTTCTTCATTATGCAATCAAATTTCATCTAACCCATTTCTGAATAGATAAATCTTCACATCGGTTTGAAACATGATCAACTTTTTACTTAAATTAAACCTTCACCATCGATCCTGATCTCCAAAACATTTTAACCCAATCAGACATCCCTCACCACAATATGTAAATCCTAAAACCCTCAAAAACCTAAACCCCTAACAAACCAGTCACTTCAATCCCCTTCTCTACCCCCGGGGTTTTGGGGTTTTGGGGTTTTGGGGTTTTGGGG